CACAACACAACAACACAACAACGCACAACACACAACACACAACAACAACAACAACACAACAATGCACAACACACAACAACAACAACAAAACACACACAACACACAACAACAACAACAACACAACACACAACAACGCACAACAAACAACAACAACGCAACAAAACAACACACAACACACAACAACAACAACAACACAACAACACAACACAACAACGCACAACACACAACAACAACGCAACAAAACAACACACAACACACAACACAACAACACAACAACACAACAACAACACAACAACACACAACACACAACAACAACACAACAACACAACACAACAACACACAACACACAACAACAACACAACAACACAACACAACAACGCACAATACACAACAACAACAACAACAACAACACAACAACGCACAACACACAACAACAACAACAACAACAATGCACAACACACAACAACAACACAACAACGCACAACAACAACAACACAACAACGCACAACAACAACAACAACGCAACAAAACAACACACAACAACAACACAACAACGCACAACAACAACACAACAAAACAACACACAACACACAACACACAACAACAACGCACAACAACAACAACAATAACGCAACAAAACAACACACAACACCAACAACAACAACGCAACAACGCACAACAACAACACACAACAACACAACAACGCACAACACACAACAACACAACAACAACAACAACGCAACAACAACAACAACAACGCACAACAACAACGCACAACAACAACAACAACAACAACAACAACAACGCAACAACAACACAACAACAACACAACAACAACACAACAACGCAACAACGCACAACAACACACAACAACAACAGTCACTCTCACGCTTTCATTATAGACAAACACACTGACACAAGAGGAGAAGAAGGGGGGGTGAAAAGATGGAGTGATGGACAGAGTAAGAGAGAGGAGAAAAGGAACACAAGGAAGGACGGAGGTAGAGAGGAAGGAGAGAGGGGGAGAAGGAGAGAGGGAGGGAGATAGAGAGGAAGAGAAAGAGGGAAGGAGAGGGAAGGAGGGAAGGAGTGAAGTGGAGAGGAAGAGAAGGACAGGAAGAGATGTAGAGAGGAAGACAATTAGCGGGAGGGAGGTATAGAGGAAAAGAAAGAGTGGGACGGAGGTAGAGAGGAAAAGAAAGAGTGGTAGGGAGGTAGAGAGGGAGAGAAGGAGAGAGGGAGGGAGGTAGAGAAGGAGAGAGGGAGGGAGGCAGAGAAGGAGAGAGGGAGGGAGGTAGAGGAGGAGAGAGGGAGGGAGGCAGAGAAGGAGAGAGGGAGGGAGGTAGAGGAGGAGAGGAGGGATGTAGAGAGGGATAGAAGCAGAGGGAAGGATGTAGAGAGGAAGAGAAGGAGAGAAGGAGGGATGTAGAGAGGAAGAGAAGGAGAGAAGGAGGGATGTAGAGAGGAAGAGAAGGAGAGAAGGAGGGATGTAGAGAGGAAGAGAAGGTGAGGACGGGATGTAGAGAGGAAGAGAATTAGCGGGAGGGAGGTATAGAGGAAAAGAAGGAGAGGGAGGGATGTAGAGAGGAAGAGAAGGAGAGAGGGACGTAGAGAGGAAGAGAAGAAGAGGGAGGTAGAGAGGAAGAGAAGGAGAGAGGGAGGGAAGGAGGTAAGAAGGAAGAGAAGGAGAGGGAGGGAGGGAGGGAGGGAGGGAGAGAGAGTAGGAGAGAGGGGGAGTGGTAGAAAGGGAGAGAAGGAGAGAGAGGGAGAAGGAGGGAGGAGAGAGGGAGTGCAAACAGAAAGAAGAAGAGTGGAGAGAGGCGTGAGGGAGGGAGAGAGGGAATGTGAAAAGGGGGGGAGAGAGGAAGAGAAGGAAGGCAAGCAGAGAGAAAGAGAAGGGGAAAGGGAGGGAGGGAGTGCAAACAGAAAGAAAGAAGGAGAGAGGGAGCACAAACAAAAAGAGAGGGAGGGAAGGAGAGAGAGAGGGAGAAAGGGAATGCAAGGTAGGAGGGAGGTAGAGAAGGAGGGAGAGGGAGGGAGAGAGGGGGAGAGGGGACACAGACAGATGGAGATGGAGTTAGGAAGAGAGGGAGATAGAGAAGGAGAGATGAAGCGAGAAGAGAGAGGGAGGGAAGAAAGAGAAGAAAGAGAAGAGGGATACATGTGTGGAGTAAATGATGGGAGCTGGTCCAGAGTGCTGAGGCTGGCTTCTTGAGCAGGACGTTTGAGGAAGTGTGTGTGTTGAGTGTGTGAAGAGCTGAGTCCTCATGATGTGGACACTTTTGGTTTTGTCAAAGAAAAATGATTTTCTATAGAGATATTTTGATGGATGGACTGAATATGAAGACGAGAGTATAAAATGTCTGTGTGTGTCTGAAGAGACAGTGAGGATTGTCCAGTGCTTGAAGTGTCCAATATTCCACATTTTGTCTCTTTTGTGAGTCCAGCTCTTTGAGACAGACGGAGGGAAATGAGTTTTCTCATTGAGAAAATCTGTATTTTCACATTTTCATATTTATGTTGTATCAGCTTTGTCCATTAACATGAACTGGCCCGATCAAATCAGCCTGAGAGTGTGTGACGTCACACCTCCTGTCACATGTCATACATGTTTGATTTACCCCCCAATGAAGTGTTATGCATTATTATTATTATTATTATTATTATTATTTTTTTTTTTTTCACTACAACCTGTTATTTCAAAATGTGCATGCTGACGTTGTGTCATTTGGCTGTAATAAAAGCTACAGAACCAGAAATACACATAAAAAAAAATAAAAAAAATAATTCACACTCTCATACAACACACAGCACACAACTATAAAGTGTAAAAAAATTTTTGGACATTAAAAAAATGCTTAATTTAGGGCTACAAAAGTGTGAAATATCAAGTGTGTAAGTAAACTCAGAATATCCGTATTGTCTCAAAAAAAAAAAAAAAAGAAAAAAAAAAAAAAGTGCAATGGCCCCATGACTTTCCTGGTGTCAGTCGTGGAAACAGCTGCTGTCACATCACTTCCTGAATTTCCATGGGCTTTATTATATTTGGATTTGGACATTTTGACTGAAATAAATGTTTCTAATAAAAATTGCAAGAGATGCAGTGATAGAGAAATATCTGCACTTAGAGCGACTTTTTCAATTGTTACAAACACAGATGCTCAGAGCATCGACCATTTTGACATCACAACAAAGTGCTAGACGCTGTCAGCTCCTCCTATGGACAGCTGCAGAGTTTTTGTTTTTTCTTACTACACGAGGCTGCTGAAGCCTATGCATATCAGTGATTAAAAAAAATAAAAGAACAGAGCAGTGGCGTGTACTGAGTGTTATGCAATTTTAACTCCCGTGTGGAGTCTTAGGACACTCACACCAGCCCAAACTACAGCCTCTAAAGCAGCAGTCTCCAACATTCTTCCCCCAGTGCACTACCATGACAAAACAAAAATACCACAGAGCTGCTCATTTTAGCAGTTACAAGAAACTGAGTAAATAGTCTTAATAGTCTTAATAGTTTTAATAGTGTTAATAGTGTTAATAGTGTTAATAGTGTTAATAGTGTTAATAGTGTTAATAGTGTTAATAGTGTTAATAGTCTTAGATGGGAACAGTTAGATGCATATACAACAAAACCATTATCCAGTTATTAGTGCAGTTATTAGAGTTAGGCATCAAAATTATACATTTACAAAGATAATTCATCAAATTTTGGTTATTCAGCACAATGTGTATAATTTGTATAAATCTCTTGGCGACCTGCATGGAAGAGAGTGGACTACAGGTTGGAGACTCTTGCTCTGAGGAGATGAACATGTCACAGCTGGAGTGTGATTCAGATGTTGTGTTTGCACTGACACACGTGTGCACTGCCCCTGCCAACTAAACTCATGAGAATTATATATACCGTATTTCCAGAAAACTGAGCGCACCTGAATATATGCCGCATCAACTACATTTGAACAAATTTTAAAATTGTACATATATAGGCTGCACCTGTCTATAAGCCACAGGTGTCCACGTCTTTAAGAACATTTTCAAGTTGGGGCCATCTGCTTTTATTGCCTCTGAAAGTATTTGTCGTCAGTTCGTCACACTGCAGTCACCAAAATCTCACCATCGACTCACTGGTGTCGAGTTCACGTGCAGCAGCTCTGTTTCCTTCTTCCACAGTCACATCAATCACCTTTAACTTAAAAGCTGCATCATCTGCATTTCTTCGTGTGTTTTCCATGAGGAGGGTGTGTGTATGAAGCACAAAATAACTGTTCAAAACAAAAACAAACGAACATGTTCCTTGGCGCATCACCCCCATCTCTCCCCGTACTCTACTGCGCACGTCTCCTGCACAAAGAGTCTCTGTTCTGTCTGGATCATGTCAGTGTCTTGGAGGATTTCAGCAGATTTCAGACTCTCAGGGGGTGGGGACAGGTGTATGGATCAGGTCTGAATAGATGCGCGGCTACTGAAGTTTGAGATGTTCTTTCTCATCATTTACGCACTCACCTGCATTTTCCACATACAGGCCAAACGTATCCCCCTCACTAATGTTCATTTAACATCAGAACTTATTTCATCACACAGTGATAAACTGTTTTAGAGCTGACAACATCGCGAGCTAAAACTATAACTTCATGTGAACCATGTGTCACTGCACAGACAGACGTGTTCTCTGCACTCAGACTATAGACCATTTATATGAATGGACAATGTGCCAAATAAAGAATCTGTCCATATATTAGCGACGTCATTGTATCAGCTGCAGGGTACAAAGACATTTCCGGTTTATAATCCGGAAATGTCAAAAATATGATAGTTTGAGCTTCCTGCTAAATGCATCATTTTGAGGACTTTTATCTACACAAAAGCTTTAATATTTATGTTTATATAATTCATCTTTATGGCAGCGGTCCTAATTTCTCATCATTCTTAAACCCACAGGAGTGTTCTGAAGTGAAAGCCTGTCCCCTCGTGAGTGTGTGTGAACAGGAGCAGCTCTGTACCCGTCTGATCTTGTGCAGTCGTCGTGGAGACAGGCTCTTGGTGCTGGTGGGAGACCCTCCACACACGGTCAGACCCTCGTCCTCCTCCTCCTGCACAAAACACAACATCACATTTAAAAACATTCACATACACATGCCTCTCTCTGATCTGAACAGTCTCTCCCTAAACCCCAGCACCTGCTCCAGTCCTGAGTCAGTGCTAGTGCAGCCTCTGCAGCTCAAGGAGGGAATTCTGGAGGTTGTGATCTTCACATGAGACATGAACATAAACTGAGAATGAGACAAATGCAGGACGTGTCTCTGTCTGCAGGTGAAGACTCTGGAGACACAGGGTCAGATGGGATTGTAGAACTTTTTGAAAGGTGCACAGCGGGACATTCAGGCAAATCTATAACATCATTATGGAGACAATGCTTTTTTTATTATAATTTTTTTTTTAGGTGTTTTTAAGCTATGAAATCCCTTATAATTGACGAAGGGGCCGTCCACACGACAATGTTTTTTTGGTCAAATGGAGAAGTTTGTATTTGTTTTGGCCTTTCATCTACATGGAGCCGGTGTTTTGGGTCAGTGAAAACTGAGTTTTTTTGAGAATGGGTTCCAGAGTGGAGAAATATGAGAACACTGGCATTTCAAACCACAGCTTTTGGAAAGCGATGACGTAGCGACCCCTTCATCGCCTGGGGTCTATGATGCAGCGAAGACTGCAGCCCTCGAACGAGTCTCCACAGACAGCAAGAGTGTTGCCAAAATGGGACAGGTGTAACCTACGGAGCCGCTCCCATCACCCAACAACCGAGACATGCTGCTAGCGCCAATACTAACAACACACACCACAGATTAAGCACACAGATCAATAACAAGACTACGTTTACACTGAAACAAATCCATGTATCACTGTATCAGAAATGATCTGCGTCCAGACACATCGTTTCTGTGTCCACAATCTTCCCTATCCACACAGTTTTGAGCACATTTGTTTATGTTTGACAGAAATGAAACTTAAAACCACATGACTCATTTGCATAAACTGAGCGCTCAAAAACCAGCTTGCTATTGTGCGCTGATACGGTTCAGCTTCTGTCAGACACAGTGGATCATATGGGTTCTTTCTGTGACTTATGTTTAACTTTTGCAAAACAAAACGTCTATATTTCTGCGATACATCTAAAATCAGCTAAATTACCTTAACGTTTAAAAAATGGTGATGAGATTTGAAGTATTAAATATTATTATCATTGTTAACTGCGCCACATACAGGTGTGGCACATGTATTATGTCGTTTTCACTCAATGCTCCGTTGTCGTCTGGACGTGAATATTTACTGATCCAACACGTGTGTGGACGCGATTTTTTTTTCAACCCGCAAAGAAAAAAATCCAGGAGTGCTTTTGTGTGGCCGTAGCCTAAAGAGAGCTATGGTTAATGCCATATTGTGGAACATTCCAGGCAAACCAATAACATACCATAATAATCTCAGGTTTCATAGAACATAACCAAACCAAAGTATATTTCCATGTCTGTTAAATGCTTTTCTCCAAGGAGATGTTATCACTTTATCTGGAATGTTTCACAGTGTGGCATTAAACCTTTCTATTTTCATGGAGACCAAACCAGCTCAAATTACAGGTCAGATCTGTGGAGAGGCGACCCCACTCAGAGTCAGAATGTCTGTTTTTCTAGGTGTTTTTGAGCTATAAAACCACTTGTAACTGAATAAATGTAAAGTAGAACTGTTTAATGTCACACTGCAGAACATTCCAGACAGAGTAATTATATATCCATAGAAACAATCAGGTGACAGACCCCCAACCAAAAAAGTTACACAGTGCACCTTCAAGAACAGTAAGAGCAGGGGCTACACCCAGAACATCTCCTTTCCATTTATTGCTGAATTAGCGGCTGAAGTTCTTGGAGAATTCAAAACAAAGACTCTTGGATTGGCTCATTTGTATTTGGAACTGACACCCTCCATGTTTTGTGTGTATGCTAGCACTAACCTCTCCCCCTCTCTCCCCCCTCTCCTCCGTTCCTCCCTCCCTTCCTCTTGTTCCCAGATCAAACTGCTGTTGCCGTATCAAACGCATCAGGGTTATAGAAACATACATTACTTTGAGCGAACGAGGCGCTGATGAAACATGCACACACAACGAGAGCGGGTCGGGATCGGGGACATGACAGGACGTAGCCAGAGGCCCATCGCTTTAAAATGTACAAGCTCGAACAAAGCAGAGCGCGCCACTCACTGCTCATTAGCAATCAAACCCCAGTGTAAAAGCGCACGCCTGTCTGTTAGTATGAGCCAGAGGAGGAGGGAGGAGGAGGAGGAGGGCGACGTGGAAAAATGAAAAAAAATATATGTACATGTTTGAAATGTTACTCAAATTCAGAATAAGAATCTTTAGTTGAGAAGTTTTAACAGGACAAATTGTGTTTTTTCCCTGCTGTTTAGTATGAAAAGGCTCATTTTACATTATTTTCTGATCTAACTTCTAATCTTTCCTCGTTTCCTCGTCACAAACAGACCTGGAGCTGTTTTGTGTGTTGTTTCATTCACGCATGTTTAACTCAAAAACCCTGCACCTTCAGTAGAGTAGAGTTCTTCTCTTCACTCTGTTCCACCTTGTGATGTCATGTTTTTTTAATTTATATTTGATATTTATTGTGATTCTTACCCAAGTGTGATGAGAGAATTAATTATTTATGGGACAAAACCATTCTGCGCTGGAGCACTGTAACACTGTATTTGTAACTGTGTTTTTATATGTGTTTATTGTGTATATAATGTGGATGAAATGTGAAATGTGGAATCAGCTTCTCAAATCTGCATAACAATTTAACTACGAGTACAAATAAAGTAACCTGACCTGACCTAAATGTCATGTCACACAGGAAAAGCTCCAGTGTGTTTTTAAACTCCACACACTTTCACTTGAATCTTTTGGATGATTTCAGGCCTGGAATTGCAAATCTCTATTGAACTAAAAGTAAAATGTAGCTGTTCACTTGAAAACTACCACTTCATGACATCACAAGGTGGAACAGAGCGTTTTGAGCTTTGGAGATGTAGACAAACTAATAATAAAGGTTTACTCAAACATGTGTGAATACAACAAACACAACTCCAGATATTAATTGCATTAATCTCAGTTTGAATGTCTCAAACAGTATTTAATTCCATGATCCTCCTACAGTTTACACCACACAGATCAGATATTTTTTGTTGTCCCAAGAGTCAAAAAACAAATTGGAAAACACTTATTTAAAAGTAAAGCTCTCTTTGATTGGAACAATCTTCCCTCATAGACTGACACATTACCTTCTGTCCCTGCATTTAAAAATGCTCTGGTGCAATATTTACAGAACCCATGGAATTGTTTATGATCATCTTGTTGATTATTTTTGTGACTATATTTAAATTCTGTCTTAGGGTGCACTCACACTAGGATTTTAGCGTGGTACATTTGTCCAGTTTGAGAGCAGTCGAACCGTGCCCAGGTACAGCACGAACTTTGGCCCAGTTGGAGGAGGTGGACCAAAGCACGACACAGAGCTCATGTACGAGCACACCCATGACTTTACTGTACGAGCCCTGTGTGTGTGCCGATGTCACTCATCTGAGGAAAACAGTGAATAAACTCTCCAAAACATACAGTGAATATGTGCTTCAATAGGGACAGACGTTTAGCAGCGTTGTCTCTGGCTTTCCTCACTACTTTCTCTGTTTTTATATCCAAAAACTCACAGAGGAGAGAGTATCATAAGAGGACGCACATCTGCTTTGCTATTTAACAGGTAATTCTGCCGCTGGACTTATTTTCTCCACTAAAAGTGATAGCACGTGTAGACAAACAGCACAGTGTGATGATGTCGTCTTCTGTTGTGATTCTGAGGACCTCCTCGAAAATGAGATGGTGAAACATCTCAAGGGGCTTATCCTCCCAACAGAAAGTTTTTTATTTATATTTTTATTTACATTATACCATGACTTAAAGCTCACAAGAGTACATGTTGTGTAATATAGGACCTTTAATTATAGGTGAAGTTGCAGTATCAGTCTATTGGTGATTTTCAGATTCTACAATGAGATGGGGAAAAGTTTGTCCTATAACATATGTTCTGTCCAGTGAAACCTCCAAAAGGTAAATTCACAAATGTTGAAGTTACCTGATGATTACTTCTAGTAGGGTGGAGGCCCAAGATCTTTCTGTATTACAACACAATTCTGCATTTCAACAATATTATATCATGCTTTAGCTGCACCAACTATTAAAGGTTATTGGCCTATACAATGCGTGTTTCTGAAATGAAACCTGGCGTTAGCTCACGCTCTCCGCTCTTAACATGATCTTACCCGAGCTTTGAGGCGTCCCTTTATGTCCTTGATCCCTCTCTTGGCGTGACTCTTGGCCTAAAGAGAAGAAACCAGAAAAAACTGTTATTCAAATACTAGTTTTGTGGAGTTTTTGGGGACACACGAACACAAACAAGCCCGGAAAACCTGGAAAATTATAAATAAATATAAAAAAATATAAATAAAAAACATTATTACATCTGAAAAATATGATGAGGCAGTAGAAAAAAACTATATTTGAATACACTTTTTGTGCAGAAAAACAGTGGTCACATTTTTATACAGCGCTTTTACATCAAGGAACCACTCACTCACACACACACACACACACACACACACACCCACACACACACACACTAGTGCACACAGACACTGGGGGCGAGGTGGGTTAAGTGTCTTGCCCAAGGTCATAACAGCAGCATTCATCTGTGGGAGCTGGAATCACAGTGGATCTGTCCGCACAACCGACGATGTTTATGTCAAGAGCGGGATTCAAACCACCAACCTTCTACACTCTGCCAACTGAGCTACTGCTGCTTGATGTTGAAATGATGGTTGAATTTGTTTTTGTAACTTTTCTGGCAGAGAGTCCACCACCCACTGGCCTGGAATGTTCCAGAGGATGGTATTAAACTGATCGAACTCT